GAGATAGCCTAAAGTCCATCTAGATTCCCATCAGCATAAAAATCTTTGTTAAAGGTGACCATTTTAAATTTAAAGTTTTCATAACTGATATTGCATCCTAGGTCCTGAAACTAAGAAATTAAAAATTAAAAAAAAAACTGAATTCAATTAATATTGAAAAGTTTAGCAAGTATAATCATATTGGGTACTTAAGATTTGATGTGATTATGCTGTGTTTCTAATAATTATTTTGAAAATACCATAAATTTTGAAAATTTTTTGCCAAAAGAGTGTAAAATACATAGGTTGAAACCTAAAATTCATTTAGATTTTCCACTGGCATAAAAATCTTTGTCATACATGACATTTTAATACTTAAAGTTGTGGTATAAATCTTTCTCAAGACACTAAATAAATGAATTGAATATATTTACACTTTTTCAGACACTCAATTTAATATATAACATAAGTTTAAGAGATGTAGTTACATACCACTCAAACCGTTGGACCCCAACTCTAGACGTTCAATTGCTGATAGGTTTCCAATTTCATTTGGAATATTTCGTGTCAATCCATTTGGAAATATAGATTTTAAAATATCAAATGTTAAATTTGTACAAAACATTCTGATGAAAGAGAAGTACCTACTAATTTGAATTCGATAATTAAGTACCCATGGAGTTACTGTTGCACGATGTATTTCTAATAAATGTTTGGAAGGTGGCATACAATTTGAAAAACGTTTTTTGTGAAAAACAGTGTAAAATGCCTAGGTGGTAACCTGAAGTTCATTTTGATTTTCCACCAGCATAAAAATCTTTGTTGTATACAAAAATTTTACATTTAGAATCTTGATATAAATCTTTGTCACGAGACTAAATAAACAAATCGAAGTAGATTTAAGAAGTGTTCTAAAATGTGCGTTTAGGCACGAAGCTTTGGCACTATCACCTAGCCACATAGTACACTTTTGTATGCCCGGCCCGTTTAGGCTAGTAGCACTCCAGAGCTTAACCTTGACATGTAGTCATACTTTACACTTTTTACAACATCGAATTTAATATAATATTATTTCGAAGATTTAGTTACATACCGTTGAAACCGTGGGCCCCAAATCTAGTAATACAGGAGCTGATACTTTTCCAATTTCATTTTCGTTTTCAATCCATTTAAATATATGGATTTTAAAATATCGAATGTTGAATTAACACAAAATACATCTAACGAAAGATTATAGAATACTGACTAAACATTATAATGTGGCTAGCCACTAGCAGTATCCATCTCAAAAAAAAGTTGATTGGGCATGTTGGATTTGATGTTATTATGATGTATTTCTAATACTTATTAAAAAATGCTCTGCATGCTGAAACACATTTTTACAAAATGCACAATCGAGGATTTAGGGATTATTATGCACATAACTTTTAGTGAAGCTATGTAAAAGGACATACTCCATGGGCGTCAACATGCAGATCACTATGCATGTAAGAGTATGATTTATGATGTGAAGGGACAACAATTCTTGTAAAATTGTCAAAATTTTTGGAATACATTATCTAGTGAAGTGGGAGATGT